GAATTAATACTTCAATCCACTCATCAATCAAACAAAAATGGCATCTCTTCAACACTTCTCCAAAAAGGTCTTCACCGGCTCCATCCTAGACACCTCCATCATCATGAAGAAAGCCAACAATAGTGATCTGATGGCTGCTCTTCTAAGAAAACTTGACTCCACAGGTCTTCTCAAAATGGCAACCTACCCATATCCATGTTTCTATCCTGAAGTAGCTGCAGAGTTCTATCTCAACTCTACCAAAGAAACTCTCAAATCCCGGATAAAAGGCAGACCCGCAGAAATTGAAGAGGGAGACATCAGACAACTGCTCTCACTACCCGGAGATGAAGCCCCATTAGTTGAAGACTTTGAACTAAATGAACAAGAGTTCAAAGAAATGGTCTTGATACCCAGCGCACAGAGCAACTCCATTAGCAGCAATCATCTCAGGGTCACCTTTCAACTGAACAAAGTATGTCTTCAACAAACTACTGATGATGCCAAAAAGGGGGAAAGGACAACAAAAGCAGGTCCCTCTTCTTCCAGATCAGCAGCAGCAAGAAAAGCAGCTGCAACAAGAAGGAAAAACAAGCTCCTCCAAGAAGAAGCAGAGATCAGAAAAAGAAAAAGCTGGAAGAAATCAACAAAAGTAGACTTCAAAGACAAGTCCGAAAGTGACTAAAAACTATTGTACTTTAGACTGTAGACCAATGTACAATATTCTCAATGACAATCAATAAAAACAATTGTTTCTTGTGTTGTATAGTTTTGGCATCATCAAAAAGGGGGAAATTGTTAGTACCCAGTTTTGATAGATTTTGATGATGCCACTATACTTTGCACCCGTACATTGTGACTAAATTAAATTCAAATATTAGCATTAAAATGTGACAAAATAAATGTAAAATTTTTGGAGCTAATAAAATTACACTGGAAAGTCAAAATGCAATAAGGTAAAAATTCTTTTACCTTAAAAGGATATTTAAATCCTACCAGTATAATTCCATTAGCACACAAAAATTTAAAATTAAATGTCACATAAACATATACATTGAATGTATATGATTGAAGACAAAACTTGACCGGCATTTAATACCGGATCAAGTACTAGGGCCGCGGCATGGACGCACACATAATACAAGACAAAATGATCAGCTCCAGCACAAGAAGACAATTGTACTACTTATCCTTACCAGAGATCTTCAACGACAAGGATTAACTCATCTCAACCAACGGATGAGATTAATCAACCATGAAGGCCTATAAATATAGGTAGAAGCATGAGTTCAAAAACAAGCTTGAGCATCCTAAGTAGAGAAATACTTTCATCAAAGCATATACGAGCTATCTAGCAAAAGAGAAAGTGCAAACTCAACATTACTCTCTGCTTAGCCTCATGCTTCACTAAGCTCTTAGGTTAGATCATAAATTGTCATATTTTTAGAGCTTAGATTTTAGTTGGTAGGCCAGAAATTCCTTGTATTTTACAAGTGGTTGTAAACACTTAGGAGAACAGTTGTTCGGATCCTATAGTGTGGTTAGATAGATAGAGTACCTTTTGATCCCCACTGGATCAATCGAGAAAAGTCTTAAGGACTGAGTAACTTTGAGTGGTGTTATACTCATCGTGAAAAACCTTCAATCTAGGCCAGAGTTGTCAAGGCTAGATTGGCACTAATTGTATTGGGCTGAATACTTTAGTGGAAATCCATCTGAAATAGGGTGGGACTGGATGTAGGAGGATTACACCACCTCTGAACCAGGATATATCGTGTGTTGATTTACTTTCATACATACAGAGCACACACCAAACACATCTCCCAAAAGGATTGTAGTTTGCCAGCAGCATCCTAAGCAGTAGTCTTCATCGACTGTACTGCTTAGCCTACTGCTTAATAACTCACTCTCCTTGAGAGTGTTTTCCACTAGAAGTTATCTTACACTCAGAAGGTGCCTCAGCAGTACCCTGGTCTTCACCCTCCTGCTGAGCCCACTGCCCATCCATATGTGTCTTTCCGAACGCCATAACAAGCCAGAACATAAAGCCATCCAAGAGTCATCCGGTTCTTAACAGTTGCCTCAGCAGTAACCTGCCCACCAGCCGACTGCCAACTCAGCAGTTGCCTGCCAGTCAGCAAACTGCCTGTGCAGCAGTAGACTAAGCAGTTACCTGCTCACCAGTCTACTGCCAAGCCCACTTCCTCTTGTAACCCGTCTAAACATCATCTAAACTAGAAAGTTATCTCACACTGAGTATAAAGAGGTTAAAGACTTCCGCTGTGCATCTATTAATCTCTTAAAAGATTATAGATCAACTCATCTAGAGGGAAAACTTCATAAAGTTGAAAAAGATTTAAAAGTCTATTCACCCCCCCCTCTAGACTTTTACCTCTATCCGGGACCATCAAATACTGATATGCAGATGCATATAAGAACATGCTCCTAATGTCTTTTGATGTATGTGATACTAAACAAAAGTGGACAGGGACTTGGTTTTTTAAGAAACTGAAGGAGTGTCTTGCATATGGTGTAACTTATATATTGTTTCAAATCGTCACGAGGGTACTATACATGCAACAAAAGAGGTGTTTCAACATCATGAACATGACTACTGTGAGTACCGCCTGCTAGGAAATATTATGACAAATTTCAAGGGCTCTACTATATGCCTTGAGTGGAAGTTTAACCGTGCTGCTAGGGTTGGCATTATTAAATGTAGAAAATCTTTGTATCTAAGATTATTTGTGCGAGATAGGTGTTGAGAAATGGCCTCGTTGTTTTTGTACTCGCATCATGTATTCTATAATGACATCTACAAATGTCGAGTCAGTGATTTGTAAGACTGTTATTACTTTTTTTACTTCAATCATGAACATATGTAAGACTTTTATTACTTCTTTCCTCACTACTATGTTGGCATTGGGCTTTTATGTTAGTTCTCATGATATTTTGACGTTTGATTTGATGTACTTTTGTTATTCGTACTCAAATTTATTGGTTGTTGAATGTGTGGGCAATGAGCAGACATTTTGAAAATTACTGTCTTATTATAGACTAGTTAATGTCCATTACAAGACCTTAATTTTAATTTCTCTTATTTCAGCCTTCGACGGTGAGAGATCTAGAATTTCCCTTTAAAGTTCTCAATTTTAACCAAACTTCTCATTATTTTTTACAAGTTATATGAAGTATCATATTCATTATTTTTGGCAAATCAATATTTTCATTTAATGAGCCAGAATTTCTACTTTGCATGCACGAGTTGAGATGATATTTGTAATTATTGAATTGTTTCAAAAAATATACATATAGTTTTTAATGATACACATTTTGAATTAACACACTCAAATTAATTGTTAATTCACACCCAAAAACTGCCTATACACAAAATATTATTCATACATCGACTTTTTGTCTTCAAAATTGATGTATGGAACTTTATGTTCATATTCAGGGATGTGTATTGCACCCTATGCATGAGAAATATATTTAAATCTCATTTAATTAGTAGTTGAATCTATTAAGTTTCGTAATTGCTTTATAATTTTGTAGTAAAGTTTGTACTTATTTCAGTTGTACACATTTTGTCTACGACTGCCTTTAATGACTCATTATTGTCCACTTATCGACTTTATTACATACTTTAACCTGATATTACAAGTCAATTTAATACTAAATAAAAGTGAACAATCATTTGATATGCCACCAAAAAGGAGCTCACATGGCCATATTTTGAATCCATATGTCATCAATATTTAGGAACAAGACTTATTGACCAAAAGAAAGAGGTTTTACATGTTTTTTCCTTTCCAACAATCTATTTATTACAAAACATCTTGGTCCAACTACTACATTTGTGATGCATATATATCATTTTAATCTTTGCAGTTCATTAAGTGTTCCATCGTTGTCATTTTTTCCTTCACACAACCATCTTCTTTGTCAAACCCATTGCATCTATTCCTCTTTTGAATCCATGGCTTCATAATATAAAATTCTGTTTTCTCTAGTGGAGGTAATGTAGTAGCAGCAGATTGTGGACTACTTTTCTCTTGAGTTAGTTGTGCATAAGGTCTCCAAGTCATTCAGTCATTCTCTTCCCTTGATTTGTTCTATCACTGATTGACTACAGGATATCCCCCCCCCCCAATTCGACTCTTTTCTGTTTTTCTTCTTTTAATCCCTGCAATACCTGTAAAAAAAAGGAACAAATATGTTAAGAGGATGTCATTTTAAGTGACTTCCATGCAACACCCCCCCTGTGATGAGCACAACGGTTGAGAGAGTGCACTTCACAATAGTTTGAACTAGATAGCAATCCCATAACATTCAACTCCATAATATCATCAATGGATTGAGAGGGTGCACAATGCTTCACTTACTTCTTTCTCCAACTCCATAATATCATCATATTAGCCGAGAGTGTAGACACCTTATTAATACTCAATTTTAAACTAGTTAGCATGGCGGCATTTTTGTAGTGAATATAGAGATCATATAGTCATTTTTATCCAAAAGTTCTGCATTAGTTGTATTATAGGAAAACCACACTTACCATATATCATAGACTCCTTTCAATATCATGTTAGAGAAAAGAAAAAAACTTTAAGAAACCAGCAATTCTAGTTGTAACCTTTAACTTGTTGAACGGAATTCATGGTTCCCAAGACATTAAGATGAAAAAGTTGATCATTAGGAATCCGATTACAGATATGACTGAGAAGACAACGAAAAATCAACCCCCTGCAACTCCAATTTTGAGGTTAAATTTTGGTTGAAAATTAAACCTCTATTGTCTTGAGAATGCCAATACCATTCCTGTGTAAGTCATCCCTCACCATCTGCATCGATCTGGTCTCGCCCTGTTGCCCCGTGTGCGCCGCTGGAATTTCAACCCGGCTTCTCCTATATCCGGTGAGAAACTACAACTTGTCGAAGATAGGGCTTCTCGCATCGTTCCTTGAAGGACTATTCCTGACCAAGTTCGACACCATGGCGATGTACAATAGTGTGGTACGGGCCAATCTCACCCACGACGGTCTCATCGTCAATAGTATCGAAGATAGGGCTTCTCCAGGAAGAGCTCTTCGCCTGGCTCTTGTTAAAGGCTTTATCGTTCACGATCTCTTGAAATTGTTCCTGAGAATGATGATATGCTATCTAATTTAAAAGTAAGGGCATTATGGTCAAAGGAAGTATAGTTTAGTCTTACGCTAAATACTATTCCTAGCTTTGGAAAGTTGTTATGATTATGTCTTGAATAATTTTCCCATAAAACATATCAATAATGCAAAAATAGGAGTCTTATCTCCACCATTAGTTTGACACACAGAAATATATAGTAAGAGATCATAATACCCTTAATGAAAAATTAAAGTTAATTTCTTTTTTGATAATTAGAACAGTCTCCAACTCCAGCCAACGACACATGCCTAGCTCATACAACACAATCGTCATCTCCAGTGCCACTAGCACCACCACCATCTCCGGCGCCGACGCATTTGTGCATCCGCCACCATCTCCGGCGTCACAAGCGCCGCCGCCGCCATCTCCGCTGCCACCGCCCATCACCGCCATCTCATCCGATGTGACCACCAACAACTAATCCAACGCCGTAGTTCCTCATCATCGCAACCAGCGCCCTCTACAACACTACTGCGGCCTCATGTAGAACAACCACTTCAGATCTTCGTCCAGATCTGTAATCTGGAAAAATCATCAGAACAATTGTCATCTTATCATTTTATTGTCATCTTAATTACTATTGGATTGCCATCTTAGTGTCATCCTTATAAAAAAAACAAAAGATGGACTATATTGTCATCTTGACGTAATATTGTCATATTTTGTTTGAAAATATGGCAATACTATTGTTAGTTGTATTCGCGGAAGAGTAATATTGTCATCTTAATGTAAAAGTAATATTGCCATCTTTTGATTGAAAAGATGGCAGTACTAATTAATGTTAATTGTATTTCCAGAAAAGTAGTATTGCCATTTTGGTAAAGTTAATCTTCAAATTATAGTATTTACTAAAAACAAAGTTGTAATTTTGTAGAATTCGAATGTAAAAGTAATCATAAATTAACTCATTGATATTGAAACTAGATAACAAATGGTTGGAATACAATAAAAAAAATTAAAGTAAAAATAAAAGAGGGGAATTGATGGATAACAAAAACAGAGAGATGGTGGAAGAAGGAGAAGAGGAAGAGGAAGAAGGAGAAGGAGAAAGAAAAGAAGGAGAAGAAACGAGTATTTACCTATATCCTTTAATTAGGCCGCCCTCCGCCGCACAGCCGCCCTACACCCTTCACCGCCGCACCGACGCCTTACTCCATATTAGAATCTGGAGAAATAAAATTTAACAGATGTAGGGGATAAAGAGAAGAAATTGGTGTTGTTGGATAAAATAAAGAAGAGAGGAGAATGAGGGGTCACTATGATGAAGGTGCGCAGAGAAGATAAGATAGAGGAGAGAGTAGCTCTTAATTAGAATAATTAAATGAAGGGCATAATTGTAAAGTTCTATAAAAATGAAACGGCTCAACAACCAACTAACTCCTACTTAGGGAATAATCAATTAAGACTCCTGTTTTGGAATTTTCCTATTGTTTTAGTCCTATCTAGGGCAATTACATTTATTTATTTTTTTAAGAAAGTGAATTCTATTCAATAATCATAATTTAAACAAAATACAAAAAGACAAAAGAATCTCTTTTCGATCGTCTGTTCTAGAATCAGACTCATAATCTATCACTTCTAAAAAAATCGCCCTAGATAGGACTAAAACATAAAGCACGCGCGATGCGCGTGACTGAAATCCCCTAATCTCACAAAGCCTAGGCCGACTTGCGGAAAAGAACAACAACAATTTCTCTGACCACACAAGCCTATAATGACTGGCTGAAAACTAAACCCTACGTGAGGGAAAGGCCACGGGTATACGCTTTGAGATGTTGAGAGATTCAAATAATAACTTCGAACATACAATTTGCACCATTCACAATTGCATGACAACAAATATGGGAATATATAATAGCCCTTGTTATATAAGAGAATCACCATTTGAAGTCGTTGGATTTTCTTTTAATCCAGAAGGTAAACCACCCATCGGTGGGCAAATGTCGGGGAACATTTGACGTGTTTTATTAGAATAAATCAGCGGTACAAAAAGAGAGGGGGACTAACTCAATACCTCTCCAGAAGAAGCATACTTCTTGGAAATACATGCCACCTAAAATTATCAAGATAAAATAAAAAAAACTAATCCAAAAATGGGGGGCATAAACATGACCCAGGTTATTTGAAGTTGTTGGATTGCCAGAGAATGACGAGAGGCATTGGTGCTGCTGCTTTGATTGGTTAGTGCATGTTAAAAAACGGAGAGATACGATTTCTAAGATAAACTTGCTTTTAACCTCGTCTAAGTTAATAGATTAAACTTTTCACCAATTTATATGTATTCACTCATTAATTCATTTTTCCATATAATCTAGCATCGTTAATATATTCATCTCGTAAAGTTGTATCGATTAAAGCCTTGGTTTTTACTTCATCTATCCAACTTTTAGCCAAAATCCTTTTTATGAATAATTGCAATTAAAAAATCAAATATAGAAATAAAATAAATTTGAAGTTTAATTTTTTTCTTACTTTAGATCTATTTTTTTAATTACTGACCGACGTAAAAACAAAATTTAAGCATGAGATTTTAATTTTAGCATTTGGATCTACTAAAGAAATGTTTTGGATATGCAAATCTCAAGCAATTGAAACTTCATTTTTTTAGCTTTATATATAAAATGACGGTTTCATACGGAATATAGGAAAAGGTTGTGAATTTTGATATATTTATTGTGAAAATTGAAGTAAAAAAAGTTTTAAACGTTTAAAGAAAATTGAGATTTTTAGCTTGGCCCACTAGTCTAGTCCTTCTTCCTCGGGCAGCTCGCCCAAAGCTTTCCTTTCTCCATGGGTGAATAAGGGTGCATATCCATCCTTGGAGTGCCATGAGCCATTATGGGGTGTTTAAAATTGATTATGTTTCTTCTACTTTTATAAAAGTGGAATCTATCTACTTTTATAAAAGTGGAAGCAGAAATCGGAATCAATTTTTAAGGTATGTCTCAGCTTCTAAAAAACTGTTTGTGGGATTAATATGGAGCACACTCTTTTATACTCTATACATTTTTTTCATTGGATTGTGCACACCTTGGAGTGAATAGTTTTTCCACTCATGCATTGTGGTCAGCCTTGTATAGGTTATTTTTAAAGATTTATGTTTTTAAATCTACTAGACAAAGCACCACAGTTAGTAGGTTAAATGTCCAAAACATTTACTGGGTAATATTAAAATATCAATATAAAATCAAGGAGTCATAAAACATTAACCTTGGTAACAAGACATATGTGGAAAATCTCTAGAATTATACTAAGTTCTCCCAAATACAAGAGTGTAGCTTTAAAGCGGAATAAAATAATTTAAAGCTAGTTAACAGGTAAATCTTGAAATTAAGGAAGTGACCATATAATCTATATATAATCTCTATATATGTGTGTGTGTGTCTATATAATGATAACATGGTCAAGAATAAAATAAATAATTCATTTATTTTACTCTTGAATAAGTGAAAGTTTATTGATAAGTTACTTAATGTTTATCTATTGAATATCTTTATATATAGAGAGCATCTATATATAAAGAGCATGTGATGGAAAATCAAGCAGAAACAATTGAAAGAAGTGAAAGTATATTTTTTTTAATTAATGAATCATTTGATAGCTCCACAATTAATAATAATTATAGATCATGTAAATACAATTAATAATAATTATAGATTATGTAAATACATAATTAATAGTTACAAGGTATAAATAAAACATTCAAAAAGGCAATAAATATAAGTAAAATAATTTTAGAAAGTGAGAAACACACACAAAAAAAAAACAGTACTACATTCAAGCGTGATGAATTCAACTACAAAGATTGTACAAAAATATATATATATATATATATATATATATATATATATATATATATTAATAATTACTAACAATTATTAAGAATATTTTTGCACTCTATATATTATTACTCAACATCAGAACTTTGCACTTTGTATAGCCAAATTTGAGTGTGCAAAATTTTGTTAGGGTAATTTTTACGAATATGTTTTGAAATTTAAACATACCGTATGACCCACATACATACCTAACTAAGAACTTCAGTTACGTCCAAAAAGGAAAATTAGGAACTTATTGTGGAACGGGTACTGTTCAGTACGTATTATTTTATCTGAAGAATATAAATATTACGGGGTATATGGAAAAAACAATCATGGTCGGCATGGGTACCACGTTTAGCATTGGTTTAGTATTGTACCATACCGTTTCAAAATGGAACAATACCCAATGGTTCTCTAGTGATTTTTTTTTACAATTATCTACACTATTCATTACTCTTTCTATTATTTTACTCTTGTAGCTCGTTTGATAGTTTGCATATTAAAACTTTAAATGTAAAATGATTGCTAATGCAAAATTTATAGTAAGAATCACTTTGGCGTGTAAAATAAGAATATGTTATTTTATTATCTGTGTAATTTGCTTTTCGATTGCACACAAAGTCATTGAAATGTATTTTACAAAATGATTTACAATGAATAATCCAATCAATAATGTGAATTTTTGGGATTCTATATTTCACATGCAAATTAATTATTTTAGATGAATACAAACCATGCGTTCTCAAGATTCGTTGAAACTTTAAAATTGCAAGTAAATGGACAAAATACTATTTTAGTTTAGTACTTCTTTAGTCTCTTATAACTTTTACTTTTTATTATCCTAAAAAAAATTACTTTTGTTTTTAATAAATTAATTTGTAATTTCTATTGTTTTTTTCTCCTCTATAGAAAATGCATTCAAACAATTCTTAATTTATTTTCTCAGTGATGATAATACTTGAAAGTTATAAGGGATACATAGAAAGAATAATGACTATGGAATAATTAAGGAGGTCAAGTTACCAAATTGGTAAAAAAAAGAGAGAGGGTGGTTTACAAAATTAGTAAAAACAACCACTTGAGACTTTAGGAGAATTCCCGACATTTCATATCCTTAATATAGTGAAATCGACATTTCCAGTTTTTCTACTTTGATTTTGTCATAAAAAACGAAAGGTTAAAAATGTCAACTATCATGTTTGATAATAGTTGTTGTCTGCTGGCTAATAGCCGGTTGAATCAACAGATTCATACTAGCAGATTCCGTTTTCCTTTTTAACTAACTGCTTTTATTAGCGTTTTAAAATAAATTATTATTAACTTAGTTGTTTGTAATTAGCTTTTAAGATGAAAAATGACCAGGATATGAATTTAAAAGTTTATATATTTAACTTCAATTTAATTTCTTTTAGTTTTAATAAATCCTGGAAAAAGTTTTAAAAAATTTATTTACTTTTTATTTTAAATAACTTAGTTGGCCTGCCTGAACGCGAGTTACATATTTTTACACGTAAAGTTACATATTTTTGCACGTAAAGTTACATATTTATACACGCGAGTTACATATTTATACACACGAGTTGTATTTGACCTGTCTGAACGCGAGTTACATATTTTTACACGTAAAGTTACATATTTTTACATGTAGAGTTACATATTTATACACACGAGTTGCATTCTGCCTGCCTGAACGTGAGTTACATATTTCTACATGTAAAATTACATATTTGACATAGGTTAATATAATAGTTCGATAATATATTAAAATTACATAGGCAATATTGGTCTCATTTGAAAGATCATGAAAAATAAAAAAATTTGGAATAAATTTTATAAAAACTAGATTACAAATGAAAAAGTTATTATAGTTTTTAACAATAAGAGAAATAAATAAATAATAAGACCCACTATCATTTTAATGGGTCCTTATTATCCGTCAAACCGTATGGAGGTTTACGGTGCTCACCGTATACCATACGGTATACACCGTATACCAATTTGATAATTTGGTTTTCTTTTCTACGGATCTTTGTTGAACACTTTGAACTAATATTTCTTACATTTTCTTTCTTTCATACTCCACTCCGTATTCTACATTTCTACTGCTCTTTTCGTTCAATTGTATGTTCTTCACTTGTTCTTCCGTATTAGTTAGATAAATAAAATATTTGAATCATAACATCTGGATTTGTTTGTAACCATTGACTCACACATATTCGTATTGCGGAATACTCCGCCATTCTTTCCGGAGCCGAAGCCAGAGACGATCGCTGAAGCTTCGGTAGCGATTTGATGGAACCAGTGGGTTTGGAGTAACGGCAGCGG